ACGGCGCTCCAAACAGCTGCAGAGCAACCTGTACAACATGCCCGAAGCCAAGTCTTTCCGCTTTACCGACCACTACAACTGAAGCTGTCTGGGAAAGCCTGTATTGGAAGCTGCTGTCACCAGAGTTTTGGATGTCATTTCCCATGGGGCCTGTGTCTCGATAATACTCTAAATTACAGAGTGGGATTTGTCTTTTGGTAATGCTGATGGTGAATTTATATTGTCTTCACACTAACACAAAATAAACATCTCTCACAGTGTTGAATATGTTGTGTCGCCTTGTAGTCTGTTCAGCAAACTGAACAACGAAGGGACTCTGTGTTCTACCTCTAAATTGTATTAACATTTCTACCCAGAAGGCCAGAAGAAAGGCACACATTTCCATTCATAGTTCCTGTGATCATTTAAAATATCGCAATAGAGGGACAGCAACATGGCTGTCGATAAAGTCACTTGTCACCAAGTCTGATGACCTGAGTTCAATCCCTGGACTCCACATGGTGGAAAGAGAACTAGCTACTGCTAGCTGTCCTCTGACTCCACATACACAGGGGAGCACATGTCCCATCCTCCGACCTCCACATACACAGGGGAGCACGTGTCCCACATCCCCACCACAAAATAAGTAAATGTAATAAACATTTGAATCAGTAGAACATGTCAGAATGACAAGTTTCTATCCAGGCTTTACACAAAGTTCTCTTTGTCAAAGTTGGATTTTAGTGCTGGTGACTTAGAGTGTAGAGCAAGTATCACCTGTCAGTACCATAGAAAGGCAATAACATAGTTTTTCTACACTTAATTCTACTTTGTACATAAAATATGTCTAATAGTGTTTTAAAAGTCATTGTGAATGCTTTATACAATACAATCCTATGATCTCCATTTGTTTAATGTGTGTGTGTGTATGTGTGTGTGTGCACGCACATGCATGCCTGTGTGCGCATACACACACATGCATTCATTCACATAACCTCTTGGATTTTACAAGAATTGGAAAATGCAGAGAGGATGGTTTATTCCTCTATCTGCTTGATTGTTTTTGGGATATAGGGTTTTATAGCCTGGGTTGGCCTTGAACTTAGAACCTTCCCGCCTCTGCCTCAAGTACTGGTGTTACAGGTGTGAACCACTATGCCTTGTGCCTCTCTCAACTTTCGTACCACGCCAAGCAGTCTTAATGTTTCACTGTAGTTGGTTTTGAATTCATGTGCAAACTGCGCAATACTTAATATAGGCTCGGGATATGACTTTGGAGCGAAACTGAGTGCTGAGGACACATGGTACCCAGGACTCATGAGTAAAGATATTTGGGGGGAAATCTGGAATAATTGTTTTACTTAATTTTTAAGGAAATGATGTTTCATTATAGGAAGAAATGGGATAAACCTTAGGGTTGGGTTTGGGAGCAGGAGGAAGCAGGATATTAGAATGGGACAGTGAAGTAATATTTCTAAATGCTAAAAATATCATATATCTAACAGTATACAAGTATTGTAGGTTAGCTGGGAAAGACAGACAAAAATATTGGCGGGTCCAAACTTTTTTCCTCTAATTTTAATGAGGTGAGCTTCCTATAAAACTAATTCTTTAAACCATAGTCAAGCACTTAGCATATTTATAAATTAGACGCCCCAACTCTCTTTGTAGTTCCAAGACGACTCTATCACTCCTGGTAGTCCCTCCCTGTGACCAGCCACTTTCAAGGCTCTTGCTCCACACTTCCTCTGAGCTAATACTGTGTTCTCTATGGATTTGCCTCTTCTAGAAATTTCACAGTTAAAAACATAATCTTTTATGTGTGGCTCCTTCCACTTAGCACAGTGTTTTGGAAGCTCTCCCACAACATAATATATATCAGTATTTAATTCCTTTTTATGGAGAAACATGCATGTAACACGTGTTTAGCATTTTGCCCACTCGTTCTTCGCTTGGGACACTCCTGGCTGTTGGTGAGGTGAAGAGTGCAGCTGTGAACATCACATGTATATACACTTAAGTATGTGTTTTCTCTTGGATGTGTGCTATCACATGTATACACACTTCACTATGTGTTTTCTCCTGGATGTGTGCTATCACATGTATATGCACTTCACTATGTGTTTTCTCCTGGATGTGTGCTATCACATGTATATGCACTTCACTATGTGTTTTCTCCTAGATGTGTGCTGCAGACAGGATGCAGTGTGTAGAACACTGTAGCGTTTATCAGTGTTTCCCACAGCAGACGCGCCATTTCGTGATTTGACAGATATTTAACAGATCTGCATGGTCCTAATAACCAACTATGTGTGGTTGTTGGCCATTTGTGAATCATCTTCAGAGAAATAATTAAGTCATTCCACTTTTTACATTTTATTGCATTTTTAACTTATTGAGAATCCCATACTTATACACAATGTGTTTTGATCATATCTGCCTCCCATTCATCCCTCCAACTCATCCTAAACCCCCCTCACCACACCCCTTCCCAACTAATGGACTCTGTGTTCACTTCTTCTCAGCAGAAAGAGAAGTAGGGGTCCTGTAGCCGTCACCTTGTAATTTTTCCCACTCACTTATTATTGAAAAACTATGAATTTTGTTTTTTTTTAAACACCCCTTCCTGCCCTTCTTCAGACACTGGTACCAGTATTTGTTCCTTTGCATCTAACTACTTCATGAAGCGTTTATCTAAATTGTAGCAAGCGTCAACTGCACATTTGTTTTAGAGGTTGAATGTATCCCTTATCATATAGATGATGCTTTTATTAGCCATTGAGCGATATTAAGATTATATCTACCTTTTGATAAACTATGAAAATGCTGCTACAAAAGTTGGTACCATAGTCTATGACAACCTCTAAGTTCTCTCGGCTATCTACCTAGGAGAATGGCGGGCCGGGCCACATGGTAGGTTGGTCTAGTGTTTTGTTGAGGAACTTCCATATTTTCAATGGCTGCTGCATTTTACATTCCTCCTGGTAAAGCGCAGCAGTTCCAGGTTTCTTCAGTTGCCCGCAGTTGCTGTCTTACTGTTTTGTTAATGGTCATCTTTATGAAAATGGTAGTGACTACATGTAGCTCACTGCTGATGTTGGCAATCTTCTGAAGTGCTTATTTGCTATTTGTATGTACATAAAATATATACGTATATTTCATAGAATAATATGCTCATTTTTTTGCAAGCATGTGTAGTACATGTACATGTGAGTGTGCACACATGCCTGAAAAGGAGAAACTTATGCACTGGGTGTCTTTATGTCTGACCCAGGATTTCTCAGTTAGCCTGGTGCTCATCAGTCCAGCTGGAGTGACTGGCTGTTCAGTGAGCTCCACCCACCTGTTTCTGCTCCATGTGTGTGGGGTTACAGATGTGCACTGCTGCATGCACATCTGTATTATGTGAGTGCTGGAGATCTGGACGTGGGTTCTGGTTCTCCGCTTGTGTGGCTGTGCTCCAGACTGAGGCATGGCCAGCCTCCGCCCACTCCTCACTGGGAAGGTTTTTGGTTGCTGAATTGGCACTCTGTGTCTTCTGGTCATTTCTCAGATGTTAATTTGTTCGTCTCCTGTTCTTAGGGCTACCATGGGTCTCAATGTATGAAGGTTTTAAGTTCTGGTGAAATTCATTTTTCACTTCTTGTGCTTTTGTTGTTATACCCAAGAAATCACAGTCAAGTCTGATGTCATAAAACTTTTCGTTTTCTTCTAAGTTTATATTATGCAAACAGAAAGAAAAAGGCAACAAACCAGATGTAAATAGTAAAAGCCACATGAAGATTGAAGCCAAAGTACGTTATTCTGAAAGGAAAAAGGACTAGCCACAAGAAGAAACTAGAGAAGTTTATTGCCATTGAAACCTATAAATATAGCTCAGAAGAGTGAGACAAAAATACTAGGTTTTGACACTAAAGTATATTTTGATTTGGCCAGATTTGCCTTTTGAAGATTTCTGATTTTTTTTGGATGACAGATTTTTGTAAATATTTAAAGATCAATAAAAGGGAATCTTATGATATGTTATATAATAACATATTACATAATATATGTAAATTAATGCATTACATTTCCCTAGAAACTCATCTTCCATCATATTAACAAACTAGATACTCCTGTTGTACTGCACATGCCATTATGAGTCACTATTAGGAATCTGTTTCCTGTAGGTTGTCCATCTGCAACCAAGCAGAAGACGGAGCACCTTGCAAAAAACAAACAGCATGGAACACTTTTGTTGCTCAAAAAGACCTTTTTATTTCCCTAATATATTTGCTTGGAAAGATTCATCCCTTTACCCCAGTGTTTCTGAAGGCGTCTTTTATACCCCAAATGTGCACAAAGAGAATGCTTCCTGTACCTCAGTCACTACACTAGCAAACACGCTCTCTGAAGGAATGGTTTTTTAGAGCCCCACACTGAACTCTGCTGATGTACAGGAACCCAGCTTTGCTGTAGGAATTCCTACCACCAGTGGCCTTTAAGTTATCTGCCCACTTGGGCGTGGCCTCTTATACTATGTATGCTGATGTAAAGTGCACATATATGTCCGGCCTCTTTTCCAGCTGCGGGATTTGGTTGCTGTTCCCCGTTCCCCGTTTGTGCAGAGGATTGTGATCTGTGAGACTACCCCTAAATAAATAACCCTCAACTCTGAGCTAGTGTGGGATTTCTTTCAAGTGTCCTTCTTCGCAGCTTAGGCCACAGGAGAGGGATGGACGCACGTGGCCACATCCAACAGATGGCTGTAGTTTGCCTGATTTTGTTTTATGCACCAAAATGAAATCTGTTTATAGTTTGTATAAAACATTTAACAAAAAAGTAATAATTTAGGGCCTAAAAGAAAGTTATCAAATCCTTTTTAGCTTTTCAGCACAAACACAGTGAACTATCTGGGAAGTATTTTGTACTTTAAATATATCTACATAGCTTCACTTTTTTTTTTTTTTTTTTTACCCTGAGACATTTCTTAAGAAAAATAATCTGGAATCCAGTACATGAAATAGCTTTGTGGATATATATCATATAAAGATGAATTGTTTTTATTTCTAGCATAAGAACCCCAGTTCCCAAATAATGAATCTTGGGTACTAAGTACGCCTCCAACACACTACACATTAAAGAGCAATGAGTTCTCCCTTACAATGATTGCAGCAATTGAAAGTTATATTTTCATATCTGGTATAGGGATGGAAACGTCCAATATTTTTCTTTGTAGTGAGTAATGTGGTTGGTGACGATTCAGAAAACGGGTTGTCCGGTGAGCTTTCTGTACAGGTAACTGGATCCAAAATACGTAGAACCTAAGTCAAAAGAAGTCAGGTCAGACGTATGTAGCATGTACTGTAAAGGCCAAGGGTTTCACTGATAGGAAACTACTTATAAAGCTTCATTTTGTTTTATGGTGCTATAGCATCAAAAATAACATCTGAATGAATTAGAATTTATCCTTCTTCCAAAACATTGTAAATTCAGCAATGATGCCTACTTATGACATTAACCACCTTTATTTTAGTAACTACAAAACTAGTACTCTTTCAAAGATATCTATAGAAAGAATAAAATCAGAAAAATGAAGTTTTATGAGTTATACCTCATATGATATAAATTTTCAGTTTTAGCCAAATGCACCCACTGCCTCTCTTTCCCTTTCCATTGTTTAGAATGAGGGCTGAACCTCCGTTCTTCTGTGGAAATGCTGCTTTTATTTTTGGAAAAATAAATGGCCCTTCATTTCTCTCTCTTTTTATATTATATAGACTATTTTATGCTAACATCTATGTTCACAATACTTTGCTCTCTCATTCTTCCTTGGTTTTAGCTTTTTCTGTCTCCTCTACTGAGACTCAAAACAGGTGGTCTTGGGTTGAAAAAAAAGGTCCAATTACGCACAAGGATAACGTTCTTGGGTCACAGCTCTTAGTTCCCAAAATAATCATGATACAAGCAGAGCTGTTTCAAAGAATGCAGGCACGGCAATTGGCCCTATCTCCCTCTGCTACAGCAGAGTGGGGCTTATCTGAAGGCGCTCTTGGGCTTGCCTCCCTGCTCCACGTGCCCGGATGTTCCCTCTTCTAAGTTAACAGCATCTCCTAGACACTGGAGCTCCTGACATCTGAGCATCTTTGGATCCTGGAAGAGCTTCCATGCAGCTTTAGGACTTCCACTGTTAACTATACTTTACTTTTAAAATTCAGCTTTTAGGCCTTTCATTTAGAAGGAAAGCAACGGCAGAAGGAGTAATATTGTTTATAAACTTTGCAAGGAAAAGAATGTCTTCTAAGTATGGCATATGCCATGACATTGTGGGTCTTGAAAACGAAAAACAAAATGCTAAGGGAATTCAATAGGAGACAGAGATATGGTAGAAAGTCTTCTAGATGATAGGGGTGGATTTTAAGCCTTGTAGAGATCCTGCGACACATCATGGAGGAAAGAAATGGGCGGGCATTAAAACAGGTGAAAGAAGAATGGAGACGAAGTTACGGCATTTATCTCTGAGAGGACAGTTCCTGAAGCAATGGGACTGGAAGGCACTCAAAGAGAAGAGATGCCGGTTGTTACAAGAGGGAATGCAGTAGGGTAAAGAAGCAGAACGAGCAGATCTCAACCCGGCCTGGAGCACACCCAACATTGCACAATGAAGCAGACTGCAGAGAAGACAGGATGGTGGAGGTTAGTCACAGAAACCAGGGCAAGAGGAGTGTTTCGTGAACGAGGGAAAAGCCAGCTACACTCAAAGATCTCGCCAGCAGCTGAGCACACAGTGTCATAACCACCCAGCAAAGAAACAGTAGGAAAGAACTAACAGGCTGTGAGTGGTTTACTTTGTAGGCACTGGTCCTCTTAGTAAGTAGTTGAGCACCTACTATGTGCGACGTCATACCAGCCCATGAGGAAACACAGTAAGAAATACTTTCCAGCTTTTAAGTAGATTCAGGGAAAGAATTACACAAAACAACATGATACAAGAGCTGTAGTTGATAAGAGTACAAAATACACTGAAAGTTTGGACAATAAAGGTGACAGAAAATCGTTTAGGCAGGTGGAAGAGCATGCATAGAAAGGGATGTGAGAAAAATGGTCTATCTGTGAAATGAGAGGTGAGCAACACTACTAGAGAGGAATGGAACTTGGGAAGCGGGCCGAGAAGGATGGAAAGATTATGCTACGTCTTCTATGCTCCAGGAGAGAATTCAGTCAGGGAGGCAGGAAGGGGAGCTGTTTGATGACTGTGTTGACATTTGGAAGACAACAGAAGATGGATGGCCGAGAGGCAGGATGTGAGTACATATATGTATGCATTTTCTAAGACTCCTGGCTGCGGTGGGTAGGTGATTTTCTCCTTAGAATAAAGTAGTGACATCATGAAACTGAAGGGTCAAGGAGGAATCTGCTCTAAGATCACATGCTTATTAACACAAGAAATACAGTGAGGTTCCACATTTCACAGCTCCCAAGGCCAAGCCAGCACAACAAGGAGCTTTCAGGAAGAGGTCAATAAAACCTCTGAGCTTAGAACACATTCCACAGCTCAAGAAGAGAAAACATGTTACCTTTTCTGCCATTTTCTCAGCCGGGGTACTGACGAATTCTACTGCTGCTGGAATCTTCTTTTGATTGCTAGTGCCAACATTTCCCAGAAGATGAGCATGCAGGGCTTCTGCCAACTTGTGGTTCGCAAGTGCTAGCCCTGTTGTGCTGTGGGGCTGTGTGATAGGGGTGTGCGTCTGCTCTCTTCCCCACTGCAAGGACACCAAGAGCTCCTCCAAAAACCTGCACAGAACACACACGAGCAATGAACACTGATGAAGACAAAATCTAAGAACCAGTAAGAGGAGAGAAGTGAGCAACGTATTTCAGAAGTCACTGAACATTTCTACTCAGAGTGTAAGCCTCATGCTGTCTGGTCACATAGGTTACAGGACAGAAGACACTTGCTAATCTATTACCACATTGTTGCCTGGAAATCAGAACAACAAGTAGCACGGTTTAATGTAATCATATTTGCTTGTTGTATATGGCTGCTAAGCAGTCTCCAAAATCTGGTAACTTCTGGGCTCTCTAACACACACAAATGATTTTAAAATAAATCATAAAAATAACAGACAGGAGCTGGAGAGATGGCTCAGTGGTTAAGAGCATTGCCTGTTCTTCCAAAGGTCCTGAGTTTAATTCCCAGCAACCACATGGTGGCTCACAACCAATCTGTAATAAGGTCTGGTGCCCTCTTCTGGCCTGCAGGCATACATGCAGACAGAATATTGTATACATAATAAATAAATAAATATTTTAAAAAAGAAAAAAATAAAAATAACAGACATATAAATTAACCAGCTCTAGCCAATTAAAGCAGTTGAGCTTGTAGTTAATGTATTTGGTCACAATGTATTTTCTATATTGTTGAATTTGGTCCACTAACATTCAATAAGGATATTTTTCTATCTATCTATCTATCTATCTATCTATCTATCTATCTATCTATCTATCTATCACCTTTTCGAGACAAGGTTCCTCTGTGTAACAGTACTGCTATCCTGGAACGTGCTCTATAGACCAGGCTGAACTCAAACTCACTGAGATCTGCCTACCTCTGCCTCCCAAGTGCTAAGATTAAAGATGTATACCATCACTGCACGGTGCTATGAAGATTTTTAAATTTATGTTCATTAAAGATAGAAAGTCTACAGGCCTTTGTTTATGTCAGTAGCTTGTTTTCATAATGCTCACCCCCAAAAATGATTTGGAAATTGCTCTCTTTTCTTCTATGCTCTAGAAGAACTTGTGCACAGCTGTGCTTCTTTTCTCCTTAGATGTTTATTAGTACTCAGTCGATCCATCTAGGCTAGAATTTTCTTCATTCAGTTTTTAACTACAAGCTCAACTGCTTTAATTGGCTAGAGCTGGTTAATTTATATGTCTGTTATTTTTATGATTTATTTTAAAATTATTCGTGTGTGTTGGGTGTGTGCACATAAGCGCAGGTACCTAGAGAGCCCAGAAGAAGTTACCAGGAGTTATAAGCTGCCAACATGGTGCTGAGAACTAAACTCAGGTCCTATGCAAGTGCAGCACACACTCTTAACTGCTGAGCCATCCCCAGCCCTCCTATACCTGCTTTTAAGTAAACTTTGGAAATATGTCTTAAGCTATCTAAATCACTGACTTGATTAGCTAGAGATATCAATAACACTCCCTTATTATCTTTGCCATGTCTATTTAATCTATTGCGTGCAGTCTTTCATTCCCAGTACTTAATGTGCCCTCTTTCCTCAATGGATGGGATAGAACTTTTTTGTCTTATTTATTTATTCTTCTCTCATAAAATCTGACCACAGCCTCCCACTCCCTCAGCTCCTCCCAGTTCCACCACCATCACCTCCCAGATCTAGTGAGCCCCTGTTCCCCTTCAGAAAAGAGCAGGCTTCCCAGAGATACCAACCAGATATGCCCAAGAAGATGAGGTAAGACTGGGCACAAACCTCCTATCAAGGATGGATGAGGCAGCCCAGTAGGAGGAAAAGGGTTCAAGAGCAGGCCAAAGAGTCAAAGACACACCCACTCCCACTACTGCTGTGGTCCCACAAAAGCCCCAAGCTAAACAACCACAGCATGCATGCGGAGGGCCTTGCACAGACCCATGGAAGCTCCGTGATGGCCACTTCAGGACTGGGCATTTCTTCTGGACATTTCTTAAGTTTATCTTTTTAAAAAAAGTTTCATCAAAATTTTGTTTTAGCTATCATTAGTACTCTCTCACTTCTGCTTAATTTGGGTTTAATTTGCTTTTTGTATTTCTTGGAGTAGTAAATTACTAAGGAGACTTTTCTTATTTCCCCAAATAAACCTCCCTTTTTATCTTTAAAGACAGGATCTTACTCCATAGCCCAGATTGGCCTGTAATTCAGGAATTTCTGCCTCAGCCTCCTGAGTGATGGGATTGTAGGTACGCCCCATCATGGTCAGCCTGAAACAAGCACTTCCCTTGAAACATTGCCTTGATTGCCTCTAACAAATTGCCACACTTTGATATATTTTGCTTTATTTTTCTAGTTTCCCATATAACTGATTGAGAATTATTTAATTACATAAGAGAACAAAGACCAAAAAAAGAAAAGAGAGAGAGAGAGAGAACAAAGACCTTTTAAAGAACACTGCCCAAATGTTTATTTATTATTATTATTATTATTTTAAATTTCAGCCTATTCTGGAATGCGAAGATATGCAGACATGTTCCAATACTGCAAAAAGATTTCGAAAGCTCTCCCGTGGGAGACGTGGGTGTGTCACTTGGCTTCTTCCACACTACACAAAGCCCCCATGACCACACCAGGAACTGCTTTTGAAAGCAGAAACACCGTCACTCACAGATCTAATAATTCTTTTCCCTATTAGGAATGGAAGCTGCAGCCCCGTCTTTTCTGTTTTAGGGCTGTTTCCTTTCGGGGCATCTATTTTAGAGTGTTACTAACAGTACAGTCAATACGTTAAAGAATGGGGCCACACTGAAACAAACAATCCAACGGAACTTTGAGGGCAGTGAAACCTGCGGGAGACAACAAGAGTCGTACTTGTGGGTAGAGACCATTTCCTGGCGAAATTGCTCCCGTTCACTCAGGAGATCCTGGACGGCGCTGTGGGCGTCTCGGTTCTGACGCTGTAAAACTACTCTGAAGTTCGTTAATTCGTCCGCCATTACCCTGCAAAAGATGAAATCTCACACACAGTTCTCTCACAGCATCATAGCACACAGCGGTTAGTCTAATACTACTCCATGATTCCGGTTCCAAAAGCCAGTACCAGGGTTTAGCAGATTCACACTGCCCCGCAGTTCTAGCATTTTAACATGAGAGCGTCTGCAGCGGGGTCAGCTGAAATATTTTTAAAATGATGGAAGGGTACCTAACTTTTTTATATAGAGACTTGGACTTGACACCCAGGCTACTCTAAACTGATCAATTTTAGATGATTAGATACATGCTTCTAACTATAAAGAACTGAAAAGAGAAAGTAAATGATTTTTCTCACTACTCAATTGTACTTTCAGGAAAATTCTGAAAACTTTCTATAAAACAATGTAGTCTTCCCCCTGCCAAGCAGGCTCATCTTGTTTTTACACAGCTAATAAAGTTTCTTATTTTCCAACAAATAATTTAAATATATTTTCACATGAATGTGTTAAAAAATAAAAATATGAAATGTTTTTACAAGAAGGAAAACTTTATTACAAAGTTTTCTATACCTTGTTTTAAGAACTTAACAGGTTCTTAAAGAACAACTTGGAGGCCTTTGGCGCTTTGAGAGAAATCTCCAAATGATTTATTTTAATCAGCAGTTATTAAACACATGAAGTTCTGCTGCTGTGCACGGTATTCTGGGTAGTTTCCTGTCAACCTGACAGGAACAGTTATCTAAGAAGAAGGAACCACAATTGAGAAGACTGTAAACAAGCCTGTGGGAGCATTTCCTTGGTTGATGCCTACTGTAGGCGGTGCCAGGTGATCCCGGGCAGTATAAGAAATCAGGCTGAAAAAGCCATGAGGAACAAGTCAACCGGCAACATACCTTCCCGGCATCTTGAGTTCCTGCCCTGACTTCCCTCAGTGATGGAGTGTGACCCAAGTGATGAAAGCTGAACAACCCTTTCCTCCCCCAGCTACGCTTGAGCATGCTGTTTCATCCCGACAGCAGAAACCTAACACAGACAAGTGTCTAAAACATGTTCATATTAGTGCAAAAGTCGAGTGGAGCAGGGGACAGACGGACAAAGACCCAAGATACACAGCAGAGTTTCTTATGGACCAGTGTGTTCAGAGGCCTGGACTATGTAGCTTTTTACATGTATCAGAGTTGCCTCATCAGATATGCCATAAAATAAAACATTTTTTCTCCCAGCCCCCCATACCAGACAGGATTTCACAAGTTTTTGCAGCCTATCCCGGAACTAGTTCTCTTGTAGACCAAGCTGGCCTCGAACTCACAGAGATCCGCCTGCCTCTGCCTCCTGAGTGCTGGGATTAAAGGCGTGTGCCACCACCGCCCAGCTGTTTTCTGTTTATATTTGGGGAGAAAGAAGTTGAGAAGCTCTTTACGTGGACAGAAGAGCTACGAGAACAGAGCACACTGGGTGGAAGTGGGAATGAGGTTGCTTTCTCCGGGCAGGAGGGGAAGGGTCTACATCTGCCTTTTGTGACTACAATATTTCCACATTGGCTTTTACAGCTGTGTTTTGTTTACTGTAGTGAGTTTTTGAACAAAGGGGAAACAAGAGACAGTGTGGCCCTCCAGAAGGGAAGTGCACATATTAAATAATGTAGGAAGCGCTCCAGCAATCTAAAGTCAGAAATTTTCACTATTATTTTGTTGTGAGTCAAAAGAGTGACAGAACAAGCAATAGGGAAGGAAATAGCGTTTACGACGGTACAATACCTGCTTGCGAGGAACTTGCTTCTCCACACATCGCACTGTATTGACATCCGTTCCAATTGTTCGGAAAGCTGGGCTGTATTTCGACCTAGGGCTTCGTTTTCTAAGATGAGTTGGTTCTTCTCCCGGGCTAGACGTTCAAAGTGATACTGCGGGTCATCTCCAACAGAAGCCACCAGCAACTTCTTTAACTCGCGGTTTATCTAGGATGAAAGAAGACAACCAATACGATGGATAAGCTTAAGAAATGTCACTGATTGATTGTAACAAAACTTATGGCAGAGAATCTATTTCTGTGTCCTTTGGAGCCTATTCCAATGTGTTGGTTTTGTCTTACATTTTTTCCCTATTATTCCTTAGAAGCCTGTTTGTTTTGTAATGAGACAGAAAAGGGTGAATACCAAAAGCGGGGAGGGGAGGGGACCAGAAGAGGAACTTGGAGGAATAGAGGGAGGGGAAACCATAATCAGGATATACTGTGTGAAAAAAAAATCTATTTTCAATAAGAGGAGAAAATTAAGAGAAGAAAAACACCAGAAATAAGACAAAAACAAACCTATATTGATAGTTATGCAGTTATATCTGGATAGTGTAATTATAGGTGTTATCATTTTTATTGTCTTTCTGAATTTTCTTTTTACTCTCTCAAAAATGGTGTGTGTGTGTGTGTGTGTGAATCCTGTTTCTTCCCTGGACCCCAAAAACTCAGCACTAATGTTACAGGTGTGCATGGCGATGCCAGACTTTTTTTTTTTTTAATATGGGTGCTGGGGATTTGAACTCAGGTCCCCATGCTTGCATAGTCATTCTTACCCACTAAGCCATCTCCCAGCTCCTTCTTTCTGAATCTTCTAAAACGTTTACAAATATATACCATTTTGTACTTAGAAATTAGCTAAATATATTAAAATATATTAAATACAAGTAAAATGATTTAAATGTAAATTACATTTGGATAAGAACCACTAATCACTGTGTTACACACTGTCGCCTTACAAAAAGATGCAGTCTTGGGCTAGTGAGATGGCTCAGGGGGTAGAGCACTCTCTATGAAGGCCTAGCAACCTGATCTGAGTTGAATCCTGCGAACCCACGTGGGTTCCACAAAGTTCTTCTGACCTCCACACTTGTGAAGTGAAATGCATCCCTCCCTATACAGGGTGCGCGCACACACACACAAATATAAAAATGTAAAGTTTAACAGAGAAACAAGAGAGGGTAAAGGTAATTTTGCTAAGCTTCAAAGGATAAAGTTATACAACTGAATGCTATAGATTCTTATTAATTTCTAATTAATACACAGTAACTTATTTCACACCCCCCATGTATCAGGCAAAAATACTTGGAATGAATTCTTCAAACAAGGGCTGCTACTTTGTCAGTGGCAAAGACCAACTCGGTCAGTTTATGAACGGAACCTACTTTTATAACTTAGAGGTGGTCTTGGTTAAAGTTCCTCGCACCTCCACTTCCACCATGCTTAGAGTCTGAGTTCCCCACAGAATCTCTTTCTAGAGGCCCTATGCAGAATGAGAAATTAAAGAGGAAGCACTTTAGAGAAAGGGCAACCCATGATCAATGACATTTCTGAGAAAACAGTTTTCTAGAAGGGGATTAAAAGGTTCAGAGGTAAAGATCAGAGCTCACCGCCGCTGTGGGCCGTGCTCACCTCCGTCTGCACTCGGAGCTGGTTGGAAAGACCTTCTTTGTCCTGAAGTAGCCTCCTCTCAGAACTCTTGAGCTTTTCTATAACCTTCTTTGCCTCTGAGAGCTCCTTCCTGGGGTCTGGGGCTACCTCTGGCTGCGGGTGGAGTTCTTCTCGGTGAGAGCCTAGAGACTTAAGCTTTGCATTTTTGGTGGGGATATCATGGGTGATAGCAGCTTTGGGAACAAAGATCCTCACAGCTTCAACTTCCACTGCTTTTTCGGTAAGAATCTTCCCGAGCTGAAGAACTCCTGGGCTGTCTGAGGGAACTTTCTTACGAGGGCTCTGAAGGACATGTTGATTTATGGGCTGGACTTCAGAGGTGACTTCAATAGACTTAGGGGGCTCCTCTGTTTCCATTCCATCTCCTGCTCCTCGAATTGGGGTCGAAGTTAGGATGCCTGAGGGAGGAGTCAAGCCAAGGACAATTTACCAAAAGAAATGAGAACACCAAAACTACATGCTATGCAGTAGTTTCCTCCCCAACTGAAATACTCCCTTTCTGCAGGAAGACTCCATAAGCCAGAAGGCAAACAACTCACAACAGCTCCAGGAAGTCCCTGAAAATGACCAGATCCCCTAGGCCCCTCCACTCCTATAGTAAATGACAAAGGTTGTCCAGAGTCCCTCTAAGAAGAGCCGAGACCAGAGACGAGACAAGCGGCCTGGAAGAAGCAGAAGACCAGCCATGCTGCCTGGAGGAGGTTTACAACAACCGAGAACCTGGAAAACACACTCTCTAACCTGCTGAGCTGCCTACGGGTTCTGCCTGGGCTCCAGGCTCCCAGCTTTTGGGAGTTGTCACCTGTGCTGGAGCGTGGACTTCGGTGATGTAGCTGTCTTGGAGTCATTTCCACTCCTGGAAGTAAACCTAATAAAACTCACTGGTTCCCTAAGATGGACTATGGCAGTGTCCACTCTTTGGTCTGTCATGGGCTCCCGATCTGGAGGAAGTAGGTAGGTGTTGCATCTCCCCCACGAGCCATCTTGCCAAACAACATTGCTTTGCCCTCTGTTCTAAAGTATCAAGACCAGAAGGAAGGGAAAAATTCAAGAGTAATTTCTAAAACATCATGCACCAACAAAAGACGAATAAAGACATGCTTCAAATTTCTAAGTAAATGGCTTTTTTCTTAGCAGAAAATCCAAGAGAATTTCTTTCTGGTTACCAATATAATGCTAGAAAAATAGCTTTCTTTTGTGATTTCTACATTGAAATATATGAAATGGAACAGCCAGGCCATAGAGCGGTGCTGAGCAGGAATGTAATAAGGTCAAGCCCTATGTACTATGTTAACTATAACCATAGAGATCAGCAAAATGTACATGTGCTTGAAACTAACTCCCCTAAACCTCCCTTTTATCACATTTACATTATCTTTCTGGCGTCATATGCCCTGTGTGGTTTTCAATTGATTTTACAAGCATTATGACCCTAGTAAAATGCCTTGTACGCTTTATTCAATAGACACATGGATAATGATGAATTCACAATGTACAGTAAGGACAAACACACTAGTCAGTAGCAGTGGTTATGATGATGAACTTCAAGAGGTTACACACAACAAACACAATACCGGGCAAATAATAAAGGCCAGATATTTTGTGAGACAGTGTGGACCACTGTCCTTAAGATGCTAATATAGAAAATAGGGAACACACACACACACACACACAACAACAACAACAACATGAGTACATGGGTGCTGGGACTTAGTAGTAGAGCACACGCTTAATAAAAGTGATGTATTAACGGACAGTTTTCTGACTGCACAACTTGTGAATTTTTTTTTTTAAAAAATAAACTTCCAGTTGGGTGTAACAGTGTATACTTATAATCCAGCACTTGGGCACCTGAGGCAAGGACAGTAAGCTTGAAGGCAGCTAAGGGCAAGAGTAAGGGCCTGTCTCAAACAGGAAGAAAAAAAAGAAATTAAAAAGCAGTGGTAGCACAGGCGAGGTTTGGGCTAGAGCCCCAGCAGCACAAACTAAAGCCCCCCCCCTCAAAAACATAGAAGAAATAAATATATAAGCACAGGACTTAGGGGTCTGAAGATCTGTATTGTTAAACAGCCTTTCAAACTCACTTCATTAATCAGTAGGTCTATTTTTTATGTCTTTAGATTTGCTTGGGTTTTGCATATTCAAAACCTAACATTTACAACAATACATTTTGGAATACAAGTAGAATGTTGAGAATGGAAGTGGACAGAGTAAACATTCATTAAATGTCATCTTATTTTGTTAGTATCATTCTTTTATAAAATCTAATAAACTTTGGCTATTGATAATAGGAAGAAGGAAAGTTTACTTAATATCATAAAACATAATTCTGACTTCCATTCTCTTATGCTAGTGCTAAAATTACATCACTGGAATGTTGTGTGATGTTTTAATCTTTTGGCTTTTTGAGGGGCCCACCACCCAGCTCCCAAATAAATCACACACAGATGCTTATACTTAGTTATGACTGCCCGGCCTTAGCTTAGCTTGTTTCTTGCCAGTTTTTCTTAAATTATCCTGACTACCTTTTGCCTCTGGACTCTATCTTTCTCTATTTCTGTATACCTTTCTTTACTTCTTTCTCTGTGGCTTGCTGTGCAGCTGGGTGGTTGGCCCCTGATGCCCTCTTCTCCTTATTCTTTTGCTCCTGCTCTTCCTCATTTCTCCTTCTGCTAATACTCTCTGCCTCACAGCCCTGCCTATCCTTGTTCCTGCCTTGATATTGGCCATCCAGAGCTTGTTCCTGCCTTGATATTGGCCATCCAGAGCTTTATTAGACCAGGTGTTTTAGACAGGCAAAGAATCACAGCTTCAGAGAATTAAACAAATGCAGCAGAAACAAAAGCAACACACCCTAAAATAATATTCCCCACCGACACTGGAATATAAGACATTTCATTTCACAGATTGGTCGTCATTCTATTTGGTATGCATCAATATACTGGATTTGAGTTATATCAAATAGAAGGCATTTGGGGGTGTAAACTGTATTCTATCTCACAAAATACTTTATATTAGGATAAAATCACGTTATTTCAATATGTGACACAAATTGAAACACCCTTTGGGACTTTGGGACTGATTTTTGACGTGATAAGCAATGGAAGACTTTAGAGAGAGAGACCAGAGTTTGGTGTTAAAACAAGCTGGAAGAGAGTAGCACTTTACAAGGAGAATGCACAAAACCCTTTCAAAGTAAAGACCCACTGCTGATGGAGGATGAGTGGAGACTGGGCCTTACTGTGCAGCTTAAGCTGGTCCTGAAGCTGATATGTAGCCCAGGCCAACCTCGACCTGGAGTTCTTCCTGCCTCCATCTCTTGGTACAGCACCATGGATGACTTGTTTTCATATTCTTAAAATGTGGTTTGAGGTTTGCCTAGTTTTATCTACTCTATTTCATTTTGTTAACTGTCTTGTTTCTGGCATTTAAGAATATAGAATCAGGTATTAACTATAAATTAACAAGAACAATAATAAATTTGTCACTAAAGTCACACCATTCCAGCTCACTAAGATGTAGGTGTTATACTTTGGTTATGGTTCAAGTCAAAATGGATTCCGAGGCAAGTCATAACATACACGATCTAAGAGTTTAAACATCATTATGTAAAGAAAAAATTTACAAGAAAAAAAAAGTACAAGAACTTCAAACAATAGAGATTCAAGACAAATCACAAAAGCTGTTAAAAGGCAAAGAAACAATGTGTATTTGACAGATAATTCTTTCCAAACAAAACATGAAAAATTCTAGTGAAGAAGTTCAACCAACTTTCAATTCCAATTTGCTCTTCCTGCTGTTCTGCTTACCTAAGGACTCAAGGCTTGAGAAATAACTCATCAGGTCTAGTTAACATGCACCTGGGCAGGCAGAGCCAGGGCAGCACTTTCTTACTACTCTGTCTTTTCCAGTGACACACATAGAAACCTTTATTACATATGTACTGGGCCCTGCAGGGCACAGCCATGAATAATTAAATCCCCCAAGTTCTCAGGCAAAGACCTACGGCACCAGCTCCGTGGCTGTGAATGATGATGAATACAGCAGAGTCTCAGTCCTTGCCCTCCACTCCCTGAAGGGAAGCAGGCATCTGTTACTCCTCCCTTCCAGCTGTACTCATGCACTCACCAGTTTAAACAGACCCAAGGTCCGTGGGCTTTTCATCCCGGCTTTCCCATGGACTGATGAAAAGCGAAGAAATAGCAAAATCACCAGTCCAACATTCTACATAGGCATTGGCAAACTGTTTCAATAAAAGGCCAGAGAGGAACTACTTTAGACTTTTGGGATGTTGAGGTAAAACTGAAGACAGTCTCTGAGAAGGCAAGACAAATCGCTTTTAATGATGAAAGAAACTTTGGTTACGTAGGTAACGAGAAATATAGAATTTGTTTTTATTCAGGATAATAACTGATTTACATGGGATTCAGTTACTGCTTATAATTATTAAACTGACTGCACACTTTGTCAAGGGGTATTAAGGCCACAATTTATCAATTTTTGTTTCAGATTATGGAAGGAAAAGAGCATGATTTAGAGGTCACCACTGAACAAATACTTTCCTTATTAATGACAGTGTAAACCAATGAGGAGAGTACTTCAAGTCACATGACTGGGCACTGAAAGAACACTAAGCTCCTGAGCCAAGACAATGGCCATCTGTGGTACCTACCACCTTAGTCCAGCCACAAACTCCCCTCCTTGGGAAGTTCCCTTCCATCTCTTGGAGCATGAAGAATGCTGTAAGCACTATAGGATTCAGAAAAGTCGGTTTCTTTTTCAAACTAGACTATTGGGAGCTACTTTAGTTACAGCTATCTCCTACCAGCTCACCTCACCAGCCAACAAAATGTGCTTGGCATAAAAAAGAAAAGTAAGCGCTTAGTTAGTGGAATTTGTTAATCCATCAACACATACCTAACTTCATTTAAACCGTTAGTGAACATCTTTTAAAAACAACTAGTTTTTTTTCCCCTCTACATTAAATCAATTTTTAGTTCCACTATATTCTAGTCTGACAAACTCTCTGGAACACATGTAAATCAAACAATGAAACAGTTCTTTTGGGGAAGTCGCTTGGTATATTTTAAGACAATATTCTTTCCTGGGAGGTGGGGGCAGCTGGGATTGAAGCTAGGTCTTAAGTGTATGGCAAGCAAGCAATCTACCAGTCTACCACAGAGCTGTATCACTGTCCTCATTTTACTTTCTGTTGGGGAGGGCGGGGAGGCAGGACCTCACTAGGTTGCTCAGGATAGCCTTGCACTGATGATGTAGCTCAGAGAAGGTTGGACTTTGTGATCCTCCTGTCTCAGTCTCCCAAGTAGATGGAATTACAAGCCTGGGCTACCAGGCCAAGTTTTAATGCTTTTTAAATGTCACCATTATTACCTAGAAAAGTTTACTTATCACATTAGAGAAACATGCTACGGACAATCAGCTTAACGTGTATGAAGGTGATATCCAGACCTTACCTCTACTGGCTCTGGATAAACAGTTGCCTGGTCAAATTTGTGCATGCACTTACATGTTATGTATGTCCTCTGGAGTTTCACAGTACACAATGGTGCTCTAACAGCACTGAGAAGTGATAGTATAACCAATTCAACCGGGCATTTCCAAATTCAATTGCTCACAGAATCATTTTCACCCAATCAGTACGACACTATAGAATTAAAAGCAGATAACACTTTAGGACTTGAAACTATTTAAACATCTTACTATCTGGCTATGAAACTAACTGTAATAGTTACATTTTAGATGTAGAAAATCTATAATCTTACTGTTTTAATTAAACTCTTTATTTTAGGTTTGCCTTTGAGGTGAGCCCTAGCAGTACTGACCCACCCCTCCTTCGATGGCAGCGCTGGTCACCATTGGAAGAAAGTTCTGCTGGTACACTATGCAATCACACTTCTCTCCTGAGGCAGCTAAAGGAAATGCAGACAACTGGCAACATCAAATATGGGTATTCTTTTTCTCAGGCCATGTAGCACAAACATCTTTTTTCACTGGCAGCAGTTAAATCATTGTAAGAACAGACCAAGCCGATGTATTACCTGCCTTACTATATAATCAAGATAAAATGAAACGATATGGCGATCCTTTTAACGTCAATCCTCATTACAAACAACAAAAACAATTTCATTACCCAGGAGCCTTTCAGGGCACAGTTTTGTCTTTAGTTTTGCTTTTGGCCAAGTGTCTTAGTTGCTTTCACAATGGCCATTGTTTAACTGTTCCTATTGCCATTCATTCCAGGCTATAACTTTCACCAGTCTTCCACCTGCTTATTCTAAAGCTACACAACTCTTCCAGCCATGCAGTCTGCTGCTGTCCCGATAAGTTAGGTGCAGTTATCTACTAGCATGAGCTTTGCCTCCTGTTTCCTCCCCTTTCACCCTCTTTGAAAGAGAAGAGTACAGCTAGAAACTGTTCCTACAAAGTTCCCTTCTGGAGAACTCAGGAGACCCACGGAGCACACTTTGGGATATGCGTTGACTCTGGCCTCTATATAAATGGTAGCGGACTAGAGAGTCTGAATTATAAGAAATGTGACTGGATTGTGACAGATTTGTAAATTGTTTCTATAATCAGTCACTGAGGCTCTGAGAGTAGGAGGCAGAAGGTTTAAAAATATTGATATTGGGGGTTGGAGAGATGGCTCAGTGGTTAAGAGCACCTGTTGCTCTTTCTAAAGATCGGGGTTTGTTTTTCAGCACCCACAGATGGCTTACAATCATCTGTAATTCCAGTCCCAGGGGATCTGATGCCCTCTTTTGGGCTCTGTGTGTACCAAGTACACTTGTGGTGCCCATACGTACACATGATAAAACACTCATACATATAAGTTTTAAAAAGAGATTTAAGAGCTAAAACAGAGAGGAGACTGAAAAGGAAACAAGACACAGCCAGAGCACCACTGGACAAGGATTGGCTTCAGTGCTAGAGAAGTAACAATGAAAGGGCACCGTTTGCTGTGGAGCAGCTTCCTCTGTAGCTAGTTCGTAAATTAAAAGTGTTAATTTAACTCAAAACATCCAGGATATGGTTACTATATTCGATGGTGAAGAGCTACAATGTATGCCAAAAATAAAAGTGACATCATGGAAGTCATGGAAGGATTTCAAAAGAGAGAGAACATCAATGCACATTACATGTTACAGAGACGCAAAGCAAAGTGGGGCTGGAAAGTGACTACTGTATACACCGAGCACAATGGTGAGAACAGGACCCCGGATTTTCATTTATGTTAAAGTCCTAGCCTCTGTGTAGCCAATTTTGGAAACATTATCTTTGTAAATAACTAAGATAAAACTAGTTAGGACCCACTATCTCTGACATGAAGAGATCTGAAACACAAATAGGTCTCAAGGACTCTATGCCACTTAGTCACCTGTCTAAAGGATCCCCAAAAGGCTGACACGTCTTTAATCCAGCACTTGGGAGGGACGTGTAGATAGCTGTGTGTTGGAAGTCACCGAGTTCCAGGACGGCCAGAGCTACACACACAAACACACAACTGTTTCGAGCACCCCTGCCCTCTCCCAAACAAAAAACCCAAACCAAAACCCAAAACCAAACCAATTATTATCAAAAACAGGGACACTTACTTACCTTTGATTTCCAAGCTTTTAAGGGCAGCCATTTTTCCTGTAACTAACGAAAATGCACTCCAAGACTGTCCTAGAAATGGATACATATTAAAGAATTAAAGCAATACCAATATATTCAATGAGTACCTCTACTTTAATAGTTATATTTTAACTGTTTCTGCCTTCAGTGCTCATACATTTAGAAACGGAGACATTCTTTAATCTCCTTTTGACAGGCGGTACTATTTATCTACGAAATGCTGAGAAATCGGGTATATGCTTATATATTATTCTTTAGAGTCTAGACTGCAAAGTGGGTGACAAGTGGCTTCAACACACGTCCTCAAAGCTGAGTGTTCCCAGTATTACATACGACTCAGTACACTGTCTAACTTCCTGAACATCACAAATCCTTGCTCTGAAAACGTATCCCAAGCTCTACCGCAGAGCAAACCGAGATCAAAATGTCAGAAACTTCGCTGGGAAGACGCGAGGCAGGACGGCGAGTGTCGCTGTCTAGAAACACTGGGTGAAGGTATCGGAAAACATTGGTGCTGAGTTTAAAAGGGGAGGGGATAAAAGCATCAAGACTGTCAACCTCATTGCCGAGGAGGAGGAGGATTCCAAGTTTGTCCCTGTTAGAAGAAACCTTTCCAGGACAATCTTTAAATCCAAAACGAATGGCCGCCGAGCTCCAACCCAGACCTTCTCCCCACGGCGCCTGTCACAGAGGCCGGCTCCAGGATTTACCTCTGATACTCTTATTTCAGTGTTCCCCGCACAGGCTTTCCTCCCTCAGCAGCCGACTAACTTGTAAACTCCTCTGGCATTCGGAAGCCGACCCGCCCAGGCCTTCCGGACACCTAACTACTGGCTCACTCTGATCACTTCCTATTATTCAGGGTTCCGTTTCCGGAATGCCCTTCTCAAGGAGAAGGACCAACAGTCCATGCTGTTTAAGAAAAAAAAAATGTAGAAACACAGAGTCTACTGTGTATCGACTCAGTAAGTGAAAAGCGAAAAAGATGTTTACTTAAAAAAAGAAGAAAATATATATAAAGCAAGCCGTATATAGGATTAAACTTCCAGGTCACTAATAACCAAACGGAAGTGACTACGTTGGAAGGGAGAAGGTGGCGTCGCGTTGCCATGGGAGATGAGAAGGGTGGGTCTTTGCGAGAATGGGAGGGGCCTGGTTACTCCCAGCCAATGGAGACGAAGAGGGTTCGAGGAGGAGTTGAATAGGGTCTAGAGGAAGGCGGGGCTTGTGTTGCCAGAGTAACTGGATCATTGGTGGTGTTGTCTTCCTGTTTAAAGATAACCATTTCCTGTGCTGAGACCCACAAACTATGGTGAGTGCTATAGGAGGCTCGAAAAAAGGCTCCTGGGCCCTGGTAGCTGAGCGTCCAAATCTTTGGGCTGTTGGGCATTCCGAGGCGGCCCCATGCCTTCCTTCTTCACCGCCTTATCTCGCTCCGCGCAGTTCATTCTGTCCCTGCTCTCCCCCTTTTTTTTCCTTGCAGCCCCCTAACTTCCACTTTAGCCACCGAAACCTCAAGCTAGAGTAATGTAACAGAGAGTACAGGGGAGAGATTTGAGATCTGAGAACACCCGATGAGACATTATTTCGAATAAGCAGTCTATAAGTTTGCATTGTTCATCTTTTGCATTTTCCAAACGTGCAGCCTCTTACCGACGTGGTGGTGTCTCAACACTAACTGGATCTGAATCTCCCTAACTACTGGAGTCTCTTCTCCCAAGTGGTGGAGTTCAGCCTTGCATCTCCTACCAGGACCGTTTAATAATAGATGTCTGCTGGCTCCGCTTCTAGGTTATTGCATTTTTTCCAGGTCTGTGTGTTTTAGCAGGTATGTCTTTCGAGATTACTGGAGGAGTTTCTAAAATTGACGAGCACCACCGTAAATTGTGATTGAATAGGAATGGGGCGTGATGATTTTTCTTTTTAAATAAATCTTTAGATGGTTTTAATTCACGCATTGCTCCACTAAAGCGTTCTAGTTAACTCATCTTTAGTCTTCTCAGCACTTGAGGATGGTGGACTGGACATGGTAGAATATGCCTTCAGATGGGTATAGGTGTGACTTAGCAAGAGACATTCCCCGCATCTCATTGCTGTTCAGCAGTCCCCCCTCCTTTAACCTAATCTCTTCCTCTTTCCTGTAGAGACCTTTTCAAACCTTTACTTCACAAACCCCATTCCTCTTCCTGTTTTCTTCTTTATAGGTGCTTGACAGAATCTAATAGGCAATGTGTTCAGTATCACATTGATCTCAGCTAATCAATGCTTTTATCTGTTCTGTAGCCTTGTATTTCTGCTTTAGAGAAGGGAGTGTCAAGAGATCAGTCGTCTACTTTTGCCCTTGACATCCCTCGCTCCTGTCTATCATACAATACCCATCTTTGCCACAAAGTAGCATTTGATCTAGTGTGTGTGTGTGTGTGTGTGTGTGTGTGTGTGTGTGTGTACTGATTTTTATATAAAGTACATTTCTCACTGTGACTCAGGATCCATGAAAACCGAAACATGGTATACTTTGCAGAGTGATATACTTTAGGGTAAAAGAGTGGAACTCTCCAGGCATGCAGATTCATCTTACTCCTCTTTAACCTAGAGATGGTGCTTTTTGTCAAGAAAACTAATTTTTTAAAAAGCCTAAAACAGTTAAGTAAAAATTTCATGTTTTTCTCGACATCTCGATCTTTCTCCTGTATCATGTGCTGTCCACACTTTCTGAGAAGAGTGAGATGTTTTAGAGTGTGGGGCGGGATCGGGGGGAGATGCTCGCTGCCCCTCCACTCTGTGTGTGCAGTCTAGGCACAGACGGATAGATGTGTTGTGTGTAGCAAAGGTTCAGGTTCTGTATGGCACACGGAGGTTGTCTCTGCTCTGTAGCTTTCTCCTCACTCTGAAGTATATACCCAGTGCTGGGGAGTAGCTCAGTCGATGAAGGGTTTGTCTTGCAAGCATGACCTGTGTTCAGTCCCCAAAATGCACATGGAAAAAAAACCACACATGGTGGCACGTGCTTGTAATCCCAGCACTGGAGAGGCCAAGACAGGTGAACTGGTAAACCGGCCTACCCTACTTGGTAAGTTCCAGACCTGTCTAAAAACAAACAATAACAAACCTTGCTTCTGTCGTTAAGACCCACATCATGGAAGGAGAGAACCAATTCCCTTAAGTTGGCCTGTGACTTCTACACATCTTCTCTAATACACACACACATTCAATATAAATAAGTATAAAAATATTTGTTAATGAGTTTGAGGCCAGCCTGATCTACACAGTGAGTTCCAGGACAGGCTCCAATGCTACACAGAGAAACCCTGCCTCAAAAAAAGCAAACAACAACAACAACAAAACTTTTAAAAAGTGGGTGATACCTGAGGAATGGTACCCAAGGATATCTCCTGTCTTCCATGTACACATGCATACATGTTCTTCCGTACCCATGCACTCATACATAAACATACACATAGTGAGTCCTAGGCCAGCCAGAGTTATATAGTGAGGCCCTGTCTGTACATGCACATGCACGCGTGCAGAGAGAGAGAGAAGAAATGAAGTAGTGAGGATGTAACAGTGTGACATGCATTGTCCTCACGAAGATGTGATTTTCAAGCTGAGGTTTTAGTAGTAGAAATGATTTCCTGGGGTGGATCTGTAACATTGCATTCTGAGCGGAGGCACGGTTAGTGCAGAGGGACATTCGAGAACCTGGACAAAGTTGGGGCTGGAGAAGGGGGCGGGAACTCAAGATACTGAGATCTATGGAGCTTGGAAAGAAGTTTAGATTTTATTTTAGATATACCAACATAATGTATCTCATATAGCTTATCTATTCCGTAATTTAACTTCTCTTTTACCTTGGCTCTACCTTTAAACTTCTGCCATGTTAGCTTGGTCTAACAGTGCCATTTCAGCTATCTGTAACGCTCACTATAGAAATTTTCTGGGAAATATTTTCTTCTCTTCCCTTTGGAGACCAGAGATTTCTGATTTCTCTCCTTATAATCTCTTTTTATAACTTGCTTGTCTTTTTCTGGCTGTTTCTGGTTTCCATACAAACATCTATCATTGAATACATATATCTATCATTACATACATCTGTCATTACATACATGCATCTAGCATTACATACATACATCTATCATTAAATACATCTATCATTACAAACATGCATCAAACATTGCATACATCCATATATTATTACATTTGTACAACTAACATTCCATACAAACATCTATCATTGAATACATATATCTATCATTACATACATCTGTCATTACATACATGCATCTAGCATTACATACATACATCTATCATTACATACATAATCTAACATTACATACATACTATCATTGCATATATATATCATTACATACATACATCTAACATTACATACATACACCTATCATTGCACATATATATATCATTACATACACCTATCATTACATACACACATCTAACATTGCATACATACATCTATCATTATATGCATACATCTATCATTGCATATATACAAATTAATATGTGGATTGATTCAACCAGAGAAAATGAAAATGTAAAATGTAATTCTTAAAACTAATACACACATCCATCATTACATACATGCATCTAACATTACATACATACATCTATCATTATATACATATATCTATCATTACATGCATACATCTAACACTACATACATATATCTAACAATAGATTTGCTCCTTTACTAAGAAAACCTATAGCTTTTCTTAGACTATTGAGAAAGATCAACAATTGCTGCATGTTGTATAAATTAAAGTAACCGTTAATATTTACCTATAATATTTATCTGTAATTGTTTTTCCATCTTGCTCGTAAAGTGTTAAAATTTGAAATGTGTTGTCTGTTTAAAATGAAGAAGTTAGAAGCTGGCTTAGAAACCCTTTGCTCATACAAAGTCATCTAGTCCTCCCTTGGCCAGCTGTGTGGAGGCACAGCTTGTTGCAGGCCCTGATGCAGAGCTAGAACTGGAATTTCCCAGTCTTTATTGCGGTCCTGGCTTCAGCACCTACCAACCAGGCATTGCGGGATCTTCTGGGGTTTGTTTTCTCATCCATAAAATCAGAAAGCTACTTCTTATTCAGATGACTTAAGGTACTTTTATGAGGATCAAAGAGTGAATGTTTTATAAAAGTAATTCATAAGCTGTAATGTACTATCCATATGAAATATATTGTTTTCATAATAACCACATTGCTCCCTAATGAGAAGATAGTTGGGGGAAATGGAGAGAGATTAAAATCCAAAACAAGCTTCAGAAATAACCATTTGAAGTTAACAGTATTCTTGTCCACTTTTACTATTGAGAAATTTATTTTTGTATGTTAAATTCATTTTTCTTGAAGTTCTCTTATACATTCATTTTCCCAATGGAAGCATTTAGAGGCTAGAGAAAAAGAGAGGAGAGGATGAGAAATAGGAAGACTTGGTCTCTAGTTCACTTTTAAGAATCCTCATGGTGAGGAGGTGGGGAGTGGATCTGGGAGGAGTTAGAGGGAAGAATGGAGAACGAATGTGATCAATATACATTGTATGAAATTCTCATAGAATTAATAAAAATATATCTTAAAAGAACCTGTTTGGTTGTTGAGTGGTGGTGGTGGTGGTGCACACCTTTAATCCCAGCACTTAGGAGGCAGAGGCAGGCAGATCTCCAGGTTTGAGGCCTGTCAGATCTATATAGTGAGTTCTAGAACAACCAGGACTACACAGAAAAATCCTGTCTTGGAAAACCAGACCTCTACCCTCAAAGTACCCATTTGGTTTTGTGGAATGGGCAGCAAAACATGTCTGATTTTACTTAACCAGGCATTGCATCTAATATCTGTGGATTTCTACTCAGTTTAAAT